GAACACTTACTTTCATTTCTTACTCTCAGGTAAGGCCATAACCCAAACCCAAGCATTAACCTTCGACAACGCCCTGGTTAATTCACAAAACACTTCTAAAGCACAGCATCTACCACGCAGTTACCATTCACAAAAAAGGTGACATCACTACGGGCTCTTACAGAGAGGCCAATGCTCTCTGGGACACGGCCCAACCACATGTCTGGGTCGGAATAACCCCCAAGCATTGTCTGAGCCTGCAAAGATCTCACCTCTAGCCCATAGAGAAGATCAGAGGGTGGGCAGCTTGGGCGAACAGGCTCCCCTGCCATAGGCGCACTGGGCGACTTCACCATCATGAAGCTATCGCTCCGAGTGGGTGCAGAAGCCAAGGGTGTACAGCCATGAGAGTGACCGCCCACATCAACAAACTTGATAGGATCGTCTGACCCTAGCTGGATGCGGAGGATCCCATTGGAAGGAGGAAGCCCCTCCCTCCTTCGAGAGCGGGTGAGACATGCACAGGTGCCAGCAGGAAAGCAGGTCCCTCCGCAGGCAGCCCCACGAAGACACTTAGAGAGGAGTGCCACGAATGAGCCAAAGGACACAAAACAAATTGCCACGAGTGATACGGCCAAGTAGAGGGTCAGGCGCGATTCTCCTTCCCTCGGAGCTGAAGATTCTCGGAGATCAGGGACAACCGGGTGAGCATCCTCCTCCAAGGACACTAGGAGAGTAACGGAGGTAGAGAGCGGAGGGGTACCGCTATCCTTGACCACAATGACCAGCTTCTGCGGTGGGAGATCAGCGGGAATGGGAACAGCGGTCCGCACCTCCCCGGCATAGCGAGAGACCGCAAACAGGCTGGGGTCTGGGGCCTCCAGGAGCTGATAGGAAACCCAAGCATTGTAACCCGAATCCAAGTCCACAGCAGTCACCTTTGTGACCAGGTGGCCAGCACCCACGGATGGAGGCAGTGCTTGGGGACATAAGGAACCAGGCCGGGCCCTCGGGCGGAGCACCGCTGGCGCATTGTCATTGAGGTCCAGCACGAATAGACGCACTGTCACGGTGCTACTAAGGGGTGGGTTGCCCCGATCCCGGGCCTGCACCTCAAACTGTAGTGTCTGTGTTTGCTCATAGTCAAAGGATCGAGTAGCATGAACGGCTCCCGTCTGGGGGTTCAGAGAGATGAAGGAGGAAGCGGACACGTCTCGGTTTCTGGGCTCTAGGAGAGAGTAGGAGATGAGGGAATTCAAGCCCGAGTCTGGATCAGAGGCTGCGAGGGAGCAGAGCAGGTCCCCCGGGCGGTTGTTCTCAGGAACAAACACCTCGTGTGACCTCTGGAAGAAGGAAGGCGGGTTATCGTTCACGTCTGAGATGTTGAGGAAAATAGTCCTTTGGGTGCTCAGAGGAGGGTTGCCAGCGTCAGAAGCAGTGACCATGATGTCATAGCTGGACTTGGCCTCTCTGTCCAAGGGCCCCGCAGTCACCAGCGAGAACTGGTTCCTGAAGGCGGACTTGAGGGCAAAGGGCAAGTGGTCAGGAATCCGGAGGCTCACGTCTCCGTTGGACCCCGAGTCGGGGTCCTGCACACTGATGAGGGCCACCACGGTGCCAGGCTCTGCGCTCTCTGGGAGAGTCCCGAGCTCCGAGGTCACCGTGATGTGGGGGGCGTTGTCGTTCACGTCCAGGAGATCCACGCGAAGGCTGCAATGCTGCTCCATGGCCGGAGAACCCCCGTCTCGAGCCCGGACGTCAAATTCGTAGTAATTCTCATTCTCAAAGTCGAGGGGGCCCTGGAGAGTAAGCTTTCCAGTAGTGGGGTGCAGGCTGAAGAGGCTCCTCACACGGTCAGGGGTGTGGCCACTGAAAGAAAAGGTGACGTTACCACTGGGACCCAGGTCCGGGTCGGAGGCGTTGAGTTGGATGAGCAGCATGCCGGGGGGCGCGCTCTCCAGCACGCTGATCCTGTAGCTGGATTGCTGGAAGGCTGGGGCGTTGTCGTTCACGTCCAGCACCGACACCCGGAGCTCCGCGGTGCCCGATCTGGGCGGGTTACCTCCATCCACAGCCGTCAGCACCAGGCGGTAGTCGGATTGCTTCTCCCGGTCCAGAGGCTTCTCCAGGAGCAGCTCTGGGACCAGGCTGCCGTCGCTGCGCTTCTTTACATCCAGCGCGAAGTGTTCGTTGGAGCTCAGTCTGTAGCTGCTGATGGAGTTGCTCCCCACATCTGCATCCTGAGCCTTTTCCAAGGGGAAACGCTGTCCTGGAGGGGCCGCCTCCCCAATTTCCAAGTCCAGCTGCTGCCGTGGAAACCGGGGGGCGTGATCATTCACATCCACGATTTCTACCTCCGCCCGGTACATCTCCAAAGGCCCCTCGGTCACAAACTCCAGGGGCACGATGCAGCTGGCGCTGAGCCCACACAGTGCCTCCCGATCAATTGGGTTCTTGATGAGCAGGGCTCCGCTGTCCAGATCCACACGGAAGTGTCTTTGGTTCACCTCGCCAGCGACCTGCAGCCTCCGAGCTGACAGGCTCTCCGTATCCAGCAGGAAATCTTGGGCGACATTCCCTACAAAAGTCCCCTCCTGGGACTCCTCTGGGACCGGGTAGCGGATCTGCCCACCAACGTAACCCAGGTAGCAACAGAGGAACAAAAGGGTAGCCCCCGGGCAGATGTCTACCCAGCTCCTCACCTCGCGGAGCATCGCTGCCGCCCGCTAGCTCTCCACCTGGTCCCGAGAAGCACAAGACGCCCGACCCGCCCCAAACAGCCACAGCAGCTGGAGACACCTATCTCCCTTTGCCCGCGCCAGTTCTGGCGCGGCTCGGCCGGCGCCGCAAGGGTTACGCGCCGTTTTTTGCTGGTGGCGGGGTAGATTTGTCTGCCTTCCACCTCGCGATTGGCGGACCGCGGCTCCTGGGCTCAGCCAATAGGCCGAGCAGAGAACATCCCAATAGCGGCAGGGTTAATGCGTCGCAGCATTGGAGAAAAAGCACACACACACACCAAAACAAAAAACACCTATCTTTTCACCTTTCTCCCGCTCAACAGCATCTCTTTCCACGGGTTACTATTGCCTCTATGGAGAGACAGTCAACATATATGTGTCGTGTGTGTGTGTGTGTGTGTGTGTGTGTGTGTGTGTGGTGGTGGTGGTTCCCCCCCCCCCCCCAACACACCAATCTTCCCCGCCCCTTTTCCGCGGGGAAAACAGCCAGAGCCTTAGCAACCTGCAGCCCTGAGAGGAGTAGCCATTTGAGACTGGTCATTTGGTCCAAGCCAGTGTTGTCATCCACCAATATTCTAAATGAGCAGCTTCTGCTCAGTCCTATTGTATCAGAGCAACAGCTAATGAGAAGCACCGCCATGTACACAACACCCAGCCTCTCTCCGATTATTCAGAAATGTATCCACCTCTTTGCGGAAAAGGCTTACACATTAATGTAGCCAATTAAATGTATGCAGCACACATTTTTGTTGTAACGGGAGGCGCAGCGGAAACCAAAACTCTTATTCAGACGCGTGCTAGTGATATGCTAAATTACCATTCGTCAGTTTCAAGGACAGCATGGGAGGCGAGGAAGCAGAGCAGAGGAAGCCAGGAAAGGGAGATGTTCCCAGTCAGTAAAGAATCAGTTGTGCCTGGGAGGTGCTAAGGGCTAGACCTCACTACCTGGCAGAAAGTGAATGTTCACAGATTTCATAGCTCCCTGTGAATGATGAGATCAAGCTACCGACAGCACTGTGCCTACAAATCCCCTTTATTTGGCACCATGGTATGCCCGATATGTTGTTAATTACCAACAGAGGCGGTTTCAAAAGACCAAGCTTTTCACTTAGCCCCGGGGGGCCCTTTGGAGCTGAGACTTGGTGTCACTCCACCGGACCCTGATCCAGACCCTCCTAGGAGCCTGGCTACTGCCTTGCACAAACGAAGAAACAGCTCATTTCACACTGCAGTTACCTGCAAACTATAACCCGCGTGGCAAACACACCAGAGCACAAAGAGGAAATTTCAGCCTGATCTGGACATATTTCTGGACTCATTCAAATCCTCACCTAGATTACCAGTGGATGCCAAAACCAGTGGCAAAACCTGGGCTTCTTAACCTCCTTATTTTTCCAAACCCTTGATCCTCAAGAATATCCTCTGACTGTGGTGATGCCAGCAACCAACATTCTGGTCTCAAAGGGAGGGATCTGCTTTCTATGTTCTTTTACAAAAACACCTAAACCTCCTCTCCTGGGAATGATGGAGTGTAAATCAGGCTAACCACTAGGTGTTTATGCCAGGATTCTCTTCAGCGAGTGACACATCATCCACCCAGACCCCTCAGTTGGAGCAGGTGAGGTTATCCTTGACTCATTCCTCTCCCTGACTACCTGTATGTCAATCAACAAGTCCTGATGTTTTACTATGACACTTCCCTCCATTTATTCTGCCACTGGAATGGTTCAAGCATTCACCAATCTTTTCCTTAAATGTCATCATAGCCTTCTAACTGTTCTCTTTGTTTCCAGTATCAATATCCCCAATCCATCTCACTAATGGCTGCTAGAATAATCACTCTAAAACAAACAAACAAACTCGTGATGACATCATACATATGTCAGTTCAAAATTCTACAATGACTATCATTGATACAGAATAAAATGAAATAAAACTCCCCACCCTAGCAGGCTTGGCTCAGTGGATAGAGTGTCGGTCTGTGGACTGAAGGGTTGGGGGTTCAATTCTGGTCAAAGGCATATGCCTGGGTTGTGGGCTCAATTCCCAGCAGGGGGTGTGCAGGAGGCAGCCAATCAATGATTCTCTCTCATCATTGATGTTTCTATCTCTCTCTCTCCCTCTCCCTTCCTCTCTGAAATCAATTTAAAAATATTAAAATAAATAAGGAAGTAAATAAATAAATAAATCCTTGGCCTGGTCTAAAGGTAATTCAAGATCTAATTCCTGCCTATTGCTTCACTTTATCTCCTGCAAAGACTGTTTATTTTAAAAACATGCTTTACCCTTTTCACGAAGATGGCGCCAAAAGTGAAGAAGGAAGCCCCTGCCCCTCCCAAAGCCGAAGCCAAAGCAAAGGCTTTGAAGGCAAAGAAAGCAGCGTTGAAAGGCATCCACAGCCACAAAAAAAAGATCTGCACATCACCCACCTTCCAATGGCCAAAGACACTAAGGCTCTGGAGGCAGCCTAAATATCCTCGGAAGAGCGCACCCAGGAGAAACAAGCTTGACCACTATGCCATCATCAAGTTCCCCCTGACTACCGAGTCAGCCATGAAGAAGATAGAAGACAATAATACACTTGTGTTCATTGTGGAAGTCAAGGCCAACGAGCACCAGATCAAACAGGCTGTGAAGAAGCTCTATGACATTGATGTGGCCAAGGTCAACACCCTGATCAGGCCTGATGGCGAGAAGAAGGCATATGTTCGACTGGCACCTGACTATGATGCTTTGGATGTTGCCAACAAAATTGGAATCATCTAAACTGAGTCCAGCTGCCTAATTCTAAATATAAAAATTTTACATTGTAAAAAAATAAATAAATAAAAACATGCTTTAAACTTCAGCAATAATGTAATATCATTATTCTTCAGCATGGAATTTTCTGCATGACCCTCTATCTTTCCCCTTTACTATTTAACAAATTACTACTCAATCTTTAGTTCTCAGCTCAACCATCACCACTTCTATGAAGTCTTCCTAATTTCCCCCAGTTGGCCTTGGTGCTTCTATCCCTCTCCTCCCATTACTTTTTGAATATCATTTTTTTTGCATGTCTGTCCCCTATGGTACTCTGTGTAGCACAAGCATGCCAAACTTATGGTCAGCCGAGAGTTTGACATGCTTGTGGCATGGCTGTATCTTTTCACCTTTTATAGTATCTGGCACAGTGGATTCTCAATAAATGGTGAATTATTGATATTAACATTTATTAGTTTAACAAATATTTATTGGGTACTTGTGCTTTGTATGAGTACTTTACGTTGAGTAAAGACACTTTGTATACCTAAGTTTTCAATCTCAATAAATTAGAAAGAAAGTAATATCTTTATTTTATAGATGAGAACACTGGAATTCAGAGAGGTTAAGAGACTCAAACTTCCGCTCCCACCCCTGGTTTGTCTGAAAAGAAATAAAGCCTAATTCTATAACATCTTACATGATTTTTCTGTGAATTTGTCATCTCCATAACCATAAACTGGACCTTTAGTGATACTTTTAATATCCAAGAACTAGACCTCTTTTAGGTCTCCATCCCTTATATTTGCAAGTCCACACCAAAACAAACATGCATACCATCTGTATTCCTAGAATTGGAGCATTAGAAAGCCTTAATGCTACATATCCTTGACTTGACCTTTTTTATGCCAGGTATGTAATTCTCCCAACTCTAGACTTTTAAAACAGCTTTGTTGAACTATAATTCACATACTATGCAGTTCATCCATTTAAAGTGTGCAAATTATTGTGTGTTTTTTGGGTATAATCACATATACTAAAACAATGCAATCATCACCACATTCTAATTATAGAACATTTTTGTGATCCTCAAAAAAAGATCCCAGGGGAGGGAGGGTATGTATGGGGGGGAGGCAATGTTAAAATATGTACACAGATAATAATTTAATTTAAAAAAATTTTAAAAAAAGATCCCTTACCAATTGCTCAGATGTAGATTTTTAAAGATTAGTTGCTCGGTTACTAGTGATTTAGGAAGACTGTCTCTTTAAATGATTAAAATATCATCTTATATCTCCCCTACAATGTTTTTCTGGAGCTATTCTATGTAATGCTTTAAACTTGGGAAATAACATCACATACTTTTTTAAAGTTATACCTGGCCCAATAAGGCTGGCCCCTGGTTCTGTAAACATCAGAATAACACTTTGCTTCATAAATATGCTACTTGATCGACTGGCAGATTCCAGGGCAGTGGTTTTCAAACTTTTATGCACATTGGAATTACTTAGGGATCTTCAAAACATACTGAGCCCTATGTCCCACCCCCAGAGATTGTGTTTTGATTGGTCAGGGATGTGGCCTGGGCTTCAGACTTTTTTAAAGGTCCCTAGATAATTCTAGTGTGCAACCAAGTTTGAGGTATTGTCCTAGGAAAAGTGCCAGTTGTTTTCCAGCATGACTGGAAGAATAGCAGCTGCTTCTCTCTGGCTTTCATCATTCCTTAGCCTTTCTATATATGCCTCTACTTTGTCATTTTGACTATCTCCAGATTTGCTCATTTCCAAGGTGTGTTTAAGATTTGGGCTGGGTGCCCTGGCCAGATAGCTCAGTTATTTAAAGCATCATCCTAATAAGCCAAGGTTTTTGGGTTTGATTCAGGGTCAGGGCACATATAAGAATCACCCAGGAATGCATAAATAAGTGAAACAACAAATGGATGTTTTCCTCTCCCTTCTTCTCTCTCAAATCAATAAATAAAACATTAAAATATTTTTTAAAGAAAATATTTGGGGTTGGTCAAGACGAATAAAAGTAATCATATCGATAGTAATAGCTAAGAATTTGTTAACACAATACACCAGGCAGAGTGCATACATTATATCATGTGCTAATCTTATAAGACCCTTGCTGTTTCCGTTTTGGATGTGGGAAACAGGCTTACAAAGATTAACTTGGCCAAGGACTCCTACTTGGTAAGTGGCGGAGCCTCATTTGTCTAACTGCCAGATCCAAGGTTGATAACAATTATACACTTATTAGTAACAAAACTGTGGCTCTCTCACCATTGGAAGTGTAAGTTTCACTCCAAGACAAATCCTTTACAGTCATCTACACATCATCCTGAATAAATGAAAGCCTTGCCTTCCTCAGGATATAAATTTACCGACTGTTCACATTATGTGTATATCTAAGAAAATAGTGTTGGAAGGATGGGGAATTAGAGGGGGGTATAGAAAAACTTTAATTTTTTACTTTATGGTGTCTTGGACCATCTGGATTTCTTTTCAAAGTAAATGATTACTTTTGCTTTTATAATTAACTAGAGGCCCAGTGCACAAAATTTGTGCATTGGAGGGGGGTTGTCCCAGCCTGCACCCTCTCCAATCTGGAACCCCTCAGGGGATGTCCGACTGCCAGTTTAGGCCCAATCCCCTAAACCAGTAGTCAGACATCCCTCTCACAATCTGGGACTATTGGCTTCTAACTGCTTGCCTGCCTGTCTGTCGGATTGCCCCTAACTGCTTCTGCCTACCAGCCTGATTGACACCTAACTGCCCTCCCCCGCCAGCCCCATTGCCCCTAACTGCCCTCCCCTGCAGGCCTGATCTAACACAACTGCCCTCCCCTGCCAGCCATCTGTGGCAGCCACCTTATGATGACATGGGGGTGGCCATCTTGTGATGACATGAGGGTGAGATGCCACCTAGGCTTTATTAGTATAAATGGTGATCACCCTGGGATTTGGGGATTACGGTTAGTTTTAATTTTTCTTTATAAACTTCTCTATTATCCAAAATTTCTCCCATCCAAGTACTAACCAGGCCCGACCCTGCTTAGCTTCCGAGATCAGACGAGATCGGGCGCGTTCAGGGTGGTATGGCCATAGACTCTATTTTCCAAAATTTCTGTAACACACATGGATCACTATTAATAACAAAAATAGGTTATAAGTAATGTGCACATCATTTTTAGGAATGTGCTTGAAATAAAATGTAAAGGATGCCTAGAAGTTTATTACTTTCATAGAAAATTATCTAAGAATGAGACAGGATCGGTGTAGGCAAAGGAAAATTACCAGCAAACTATTAGCTGTAATGCAGATGTGGCAATCACTTGAAAGATGGCAAAATGAGGACTTTTTATATTCCTATCTGCCACCACTGGTTAGAGGTATACAGTAGCTTATTCCCAGTGCAAATGACACCAAGCGAAACTCTGAGTGCTAAGATCTTGGGTTATTAGTTTAGCAAGACTGGTTAGTTGTTATGGCAAGCAAATGCTAAGGGTGTGAGTTGGGTCCACAGGTGAGTCCATTAACTCCACACTGTGAGTGACCACAAACCACACTCTGGCCAGGCCTGATTCCCTTCGCAAGGACATAACGCTTCATCTTGGAAGGGCCAGGTGAACATGTGGATGCATCATTAGGAAGACATCTTCATCACTAAAAACAAAACCCCAAAATACCTCCATGCCTTTCTGAACACGACGGGGCGGTGCAGGAATCAAAAAGCATGAGTATTGGTTCAGGTTGAGTTGCTAGAGTTGCTAACCCTTACCTGTCCTGGAGGGGCGCTCTCTGCGCCCAGCACCTGCCTATAGAACACTGGGTCGCAGCTCCGCAGCGTGTTCTGGCAGCTGGCCAGAGGGCTGGCCGCGCCGGGCTTCTGGAGCAGCGGGTCGCCATGGCGGCGGGAGTCCGTGGTGAGGTACACCTGGTGGTACAGGTGCGGCGGGGGCACCAGGCCGCCCCGTACAGCGTCCGCGTGCAGAGAGGGCCCTGGCGTTCGGTACAGGGAGCTCACGGGGGCTCGGTACAAGTCCCTGGACTGTTTCCACTTGTAAACTTTGAATATTATCACTCCCAGCACCGTGACCGCGAACCCCACGGAGACCAGGATGAGAGAGAGGAGCAGGTAGAAGGTGAGGTTTTTGTTCGGCTCCCCAGGGGCGGAGCCCGAGGGGAACTCGGCCCGGGCCTCGGGGGACTCCTCGGTGACAGACACAGTCAGGGTGGCGGTGGTGGACAGCGAGGGCTCCCCGTTGTCCTGGATCAGGACCATGAGCGTCTGCCTGGGCAGGTCCGTGTCCTGGACGGGGCGGGCGGTGCTGACCTGGCCTGTGTGGAGCCCCACGGCGAAGAGGCTCTGGTTGGGGGCTCCCACGAGGCTGTAGGAGAGCCAGGCGTTGTTGCCCGCGTCCGGGTCCCAGCCCACCACCCGGGTGACCACGTGGCCGGCCGCGGCGCCCCGGGCCAGCATCTCCACGGAGCTGCGGCCGGGCCGCGGGTACAGGACCTGGGGCGCGTTGTCGTTGCGGTCCGTGACGAACACGTTCACGCTGATGTTGGTGGCCAGGGCGGGGGTGCCCCCGTCGCTGACGTGAGCCGTCAGTTCGAACTCGCGCCGGTCCTCGTAGTCCAGGGGCACCAGGGTGGACACCACGCCGCTGTCGCGATGGATGGAGAAAAAGCGGCCCACGAGCCCCGCGTCCGCCCCCCGCTCCAGGAGCGAGAAGGAAAGGCGGGCGTTCTGCGGGGCGTCGGGGTCCCAGACACTCAGGTTTAGAATGGGGACCCCAGGGAGGTTGTTCTCCTCCACGTAAACGTCGTAGGAAGGCTGAGCCGACTGCGGGGGGTTGTCGTTGACGTCGGACACCTGCACGCGGACCGTGGTGAGGGCGGAGAGGGCAGGGGCCCCCGCGTCCCGGGCGGCGATGCTGAGGTTGTACTCGGGCACCGCCTCCCGGTCCAGGGCCCCGCTGGTTTTCAGAGTGAAGTAGTTCTTGAGGGAAGAGGTGAGGCTGAAGGGAAGCCCTGGGGGAATCTCGCAGGTCACCAGCCCGTTGTCCCCGGCATCCAGGTCGGTCACGC